ACCGCTGAAATGTGGGCTCAACTGTAATAACAGCTATAATTGCAATGCCTGCCTTGATTAGCCTAAGCTATACATCGGTAATGTAAATTGTAATTTGTAGTGGTAATAAATAAAAACTGAAAACTGTAAGTGAGTGTATTCACTGGTTACCAAGCACACTGATTTCTCTGGTGAAAATTTCCATAATACTGTGCACTCCCTAAATAGAAATTTATAATTTAATGAGTATAACAGGGATCCATATTTGCAGTCGTCCGGTCATCAGCGACGACTAAAAAATCATAGGGACGACCAAAACAATACGAAAACCCGTCTGCTGGATGAGTTTAGTTTGACTCTATGTGAAAAAAAAATTCTTAAATTTAATGTTCCATGCATTCTGACCTCTTGTCATCCATTTGGAACTTTAAGAAAACAGAAAAAGATTTGCAGCCTTCTTTTGCAATAAAATAATCATTTTCATCGGTCATCTTGGATGATGTGGTATTCTACATGAATGAAATCATTGCAGGCTCAATTTTCATCTTGTCAACTGCTGATGCTCTGTAGTGCATCTGCATCTACAAAAACATGTAGCTCGATCACATCAGCTGTTTTGATCAGGATATGGCCTTTAGTTTTTTTGACACTTGTGAAAAACAAGCCAAATAACAGCAGGAAAAGCAGAAGCGTTCCTTACATGACTGTCGATTGTCAAAGTGGCCCTGATTTTCATTGGTACCTGGGTTTTCTGTGCCTGCCAACTGCCACAACTATGGACATGAGGTTCTGGGAGACTGGTCACAAGAAAACAATAAAAAAGTAAACTTTCCATATAGATGTTGTTTAGTCTTCATTCTCCCTAATGAACAGCATGTAAAATTTTTCCAGGGCAAGTAGATCTGGCATACTTGCCCCACTGACGACTTGGAGAAAAAACCAATATGGATCCCTGGTGTAACTCAATTCATTGTAGTTTTTTGGTTGCAGAGAAAACAAAATTTTATGAAGAAATGGTCTCCAGCAAATAAGCAAACAATGATCATGTCATTGCAATGCAACGATGTTTATTCCTGTGAGATCAGAGAACAAAATTAATGATAATTAACATGTAGGTTTTAAGATGAGTCATTTACGACAACTGCCTTCAACTCACAGTTTGCATTGAAACCATCAAATAATAAACATAATCTATGCATAGGTTAACATGATTCTTGCTTGGAAACAATTATGTTTTAAATGAGTTGACTACTGCTCAATAAAGCACAGTAATGTCAAAATTATTTACAGAAACATATCTGGATTACATTATAAAATTTTGCACCATTGCAAAAAAGTTCAGGCCAGAACTTTTTGTCAGGCTTTAATTTCACAACTGCTTTGAAAGTTGTGTATAACTGCGATGACCAATTATGTCTTCATATCTTTCTCCACAGTTCAAATATATGATCTTTTATATATTCACTTGCAAAGTACCCATCTGTTGGACGTGTGAAATG